GTGTAAAAAATTAAATGGTAAAAATTTGGAACGTTTTACTATTAAAGTAGCAAGAAAATAATTTTGCATTGTTATTTATTTGTAAAAATAAATGAAAAATAGATCGCATATATATATTTAAATAATAAATAAATAATTGTACTCACCAGCCCTAGTTGATTATATTGCTGTTTTTTCTGCGCTGCAAGATCCGCCTTATAATTAGTCAATTCGCGTCAATTCCATATATGTGATGTATGAACACTCGTATACTTGCAGTTAGTCTTACACACACACACACATACCCTATCGAACAAACTGCGCGCATTTTACTTCTACGAAAATTACAATTGCAAGAAAAATCATGGTGCAAATTCATCACGCTGCGGTATACAAAATGCAAACACAAAATAAAACGCACCATGTAACGACCACCGTGAGGCGTCCACACACATAATTGTGTGGATATTATCACTTTGCACATTCGCGAGTCGACATTTTATACATACTCCCGATAAACGAAAAGCGATAACCAACATGGCGGTTACGCAGAGATTGTGATATACAGACAACAATAATTATATTTTATACGATTCTAACAAGCTGAATTTTCAATAAACTACATCTTATAATAAATATACCGTCTTTTGATCTTCTTTAGCGATTTTGGAATTAAATCCTTGTAGTCGTTGGCATTGCCGCCATTTCTATTCATGTAACAACAACGATCGACAAAACACCGTTAATCGCGAATATCCGCGTTAAATAATACGTTTTGACAATTGCCAATCACTTCAATCAACATTTTTGATAAAAATTTGTACTTATTATGTACTAATTAATACGGATTAATGTAGATGAAATACGCAACTAATTGCAAAGCGTTCGCGCTACACTTTCCGAATAGATGCATCAAACGTGAATGATGATGACCAGAAGAGTGCGCTGCATATTCTTTTCTATCGGTTACTGCGCGTGTAATCTTATCGGCGGTCAATAGAATAGAGTGTATAGTAATCGGTAAGGTAAGACACACAGTGCACTCTTTTGGCCGCTATGATGTTCTCTCAACGCGTCCATTTTGGACACGAAACATAAATATTTTGCAATTAGTTGCATATTCATATTAATCTAGATTAATCAGTGCCTTGCAAGTGTGAATTCTTGTCAAAAGTGTCGATTAAAGTCACGGACAATTGTTAGAAACTGTTTACTTCCGGTGTTCGCAACTAATAACGCTTTGTCGATCGTTTGGCAACAGGATCGCGGTGTGAAATAGGTTACAATGCTAATAAATATAAATTTTAATGATTCTTACATTCTTAAAATCTTGAGCCGGCTACGTAAGCTAATAATGAGATGGTAGTTTTCTACCAAGAGACACAAGTCGACACAAGTATCACTCTGTTCGATATTCAATGAGCAACAGAAAGAATAAAGGCGGGAGCACAGACTTTTGCATAAAGCATAACGCATAAGACAT